TTTTTTCCTCTTTATTTTCCCACACTACAATGGATTTCCATGTGTTTCCTGAAAGATACAGGATATTGTGTCCCTCCTTCAGTGGTGCAAGGCTTTTTCTTTTTTTTCAATGTGTAGACAGACAAGAATGATCTAGTTGGGACTTTGTGCCAAAAAATCAATAACGGTGCATGGGTGCACTTTGCCTTTCTCACAGTGGTTGGTAAATTTCTCCCCAATGCTCGCATTAAGTAGGAGCTGTCTCTGGTATCCTACTCTGACCTAAACCTTTCTTGTGAGCACCAGGAGACTTACATGGACAAAAGATTAAGTGCAATCTTTCTTTGTGTTTGTGGCTACAATTCTATACTCTTATACTAAACAAAAACCAACATTTAAATATGTGTTAAAAAATTTAGCTTATTTTCTTTTTTTACCGGTTTGCTTGTATCCTACGTGCCTTTCTTGTATACTTTTGTTCAGATGAACCAGTGCTCATGTCCTGTCTCTCTTGGAAAGTGCCTATATTTCCTTAGACTTAAGACTACTTGTTTGTCCTCATAATCTTAGATTAGTTCAAAAAAATTGTGATTTGTAGGTTACCCAAATTTTAGGAAGAGCCAAGATGGCTGAATAGGCACAGTCAAGAAGAACTGTTCTTACCTAGAGAGACCAGATCATCAGTAGACTGGCATACTCCAAACAGATTTTCAGAATGATAGCATTGAGTGTGGAAAGAGAAAGGATGCAGACCCCAGGCTGGAAGAGTAGAAAGCTGGAAAAAGCACCTGGGGATTCCAAGCACCAGGACTCATTTCTGGGCCCAAGTGGCTCCCAAGGAAGGAGTAAGTGAAATAGGTGTGGAGTGACTCACTCTCACCAATGGACTTCCAGAATCCTAGCTGCAGGAGACCCCATGATCCCCATAGACATTTGAGAAATCAAGAAACTATTTGAAACTAATAAAAATAAAAATACAACATACTAGTATCTTGGAGATTCAATTAAAGCAGAGTTAAGACAAAAGTTTATGGTCCTAAATGCTTAGATCAAAAAGTTAGAAAGATCTCAAATTAACAACTAACATCATATCTAGAGGAATTATAAAAACAACAGTGAACCAGTCCCAAAGCTAGCAGAAGAAAAGAAATAACCAAAATTGGAGCTAAACTGAACAAAATTGAGATGTGAAAATTCATGGAAAAATGGTTTTTTGAAAGAATAAATAAGATTGATAGATAGTAGCCAGAGTAATAAAAAGATAATAACCCAATATACACAATCTGAAATGACAAAGATGGCATTACCACCAAGCTCACAAAAATACAAAAAAAAAAAAAAAAAGAAAGAAAAAAGAAAGAAAACCTCAGAGTGTATTGCAAACATTTCTGTGCGCAGAAACTAGAAGCACTAGAAGAAATGGATACATTCCTGGAAACCTATAACCTCCCAAGATTGAACTAGAAAGAAACTGAATACCTAAATAGACCATAGTGAGTTCTAAATTGAATCAGTAATAAAAAAAATAAAACTCTATAAACTAGAAAAAACTCTGTACCAAACGGATTCACAGCTAGTACCAATCCTGCTGAAATCATCCCAAAAAATCGAGGAGCAGAGTCTCCTCCCTAACACGTTGTATGATGCCAGCATCATCCTGATACCAAAACCTAGCAGAGACACAACAAAAAAAGAAAACTTTAGGCATAAACAAATATCATAGACACAAAACTCCTCAACAAAATACTAGCAAATTGAAAAGCTAAACTCATGATTAAATAGACTTATTAATCATGATAAAAGCACACCAAAAAGCTAAAGCATGATTACATAGACTTTAATCCTGGAATGAAAGGTTGGTTCAATATATGCAAATTAATATTAATAAATGTAACTCATCATATAAACAACCAAAACTAAAACACACATGATCATCTCAATGGACACAGAAAGACTTTCAATAAAATTCAACATCCTTCATATTAAACACCCTCAGCAAACTAGGCATTGAAGGAACATACCTAAAACTAATAAGAGCCATTTATGACAAGCCCACAGCCAACAGCATACCGAATGGGCAAAAGCTGGAAGCATGCCCCTTGTGAACTGCAACAAGACAAAAATGCCCACTCCCACCACTCTTATTCAAAATAGTACTGGAAGTCCTGGCCAGAGCAATCAGGCAAGACAAACAAATAAAAGGCATTCAAATAGAAAGAGGGGAAGTCAAACAATCTCCATAATTGATAATATGATTCTATGCTTAGAAAACCCCACAGTCTCTGCCCAAGGGCTCCTAGACCTGATAAACATGTTCTGTAAAGCTTCAGGATACAAAAGTAATGTAGAGAAATCAGTAGCATTTCTATACTACAGTAATGTCAAAACTGAGAATCAAATCAAGCCAAATCAATAACTCAATCCCATTCACAATAACCAAAAATAAGATAAAATACCTAGGAATACAGCTAACCAGGGTATGAGAATTATAAAACACTGCTAGAAGAAATCAGACATGACACAGACAAATGGAAAAACATGTCATGCCCATGGATAGGAGGAATCAATATTTTTAAAATGGTCATACTGTCCAAAGCAGTTTACAGATTCAGTGCTGTTCTTATCAAACTACCACTATCATTTTTCATAGAATTGGAAAAAACTGTTATAAAATTCATATGGAACCACAGAAGGGCTCAAATAGCCAATGTAATCTGAACTTAAAAAATAACAAAGCCAGAGGCATCATACCAACTGACTTCAAACTATACTATGAAGCTACAGTAACAAAAATTGCAATGTAGTGGTGCAGAAACAGACATACAGAACAATGGAACAGGTTAGAGAACCCAGAAATAAAGCTGCACACCAACAATCATCTGATTTTTGACAAAGTCAACAAAAACAAGCAATGGAGAAAGAACTCCCTGCTCAATAAATGGCTCTGGGATAGCTGGCTAGCCATATGCAGAGGATTGAAACTAGACCCCATCCTTTCACCATACACAAAAATAAACTCAAGAGGATTAACAACTTAAATATAATACCTAAAACTATAAAAACTCTAGAAGAAAATCTAGGAAGTACCAATCCAGACCTAGGCCTTGGCAAAGATTTAATGATGAAGTTTCCAAAAGCTATTACAATAAAACCAAAAATAGACAAGTGGGACCTATTTAAACTAAAGAGCTTCTATACAGCAAAACAAACAAAGAAGCAAGCAAAACTATCAACAGAGTAAACTGACAACGTACAGAATGGGAGAAAACATTTGCAAAACATGCCTCTGACAAAGGCCTAATATACAGAATTTATAAGGAATATAAACAAATCAACAAGCAAAAAACAATTTCATTAAAAAAATTGGCAAAGAACATGAATAAAAACATTTCAAAAGTAGGCGTACTGCCAAAAGCATATGAATAAATACTCAACATCCCTAATTATTAGGGAAATGCAAATCAAAACCACAATGAGATACCATCTCACACCAGTCAGAATGGCTATTGTTGATAAGTAGGTTGATAAATTTTAAAAAGGAAAACAATTAATAATAAAAATATGAATAATTTAGCAAATATTTGAATCTATTTCATATGTGGGATTCACTGTTGGTATCCTTAACTCAGCATATGAATGATGAGACTCTTTGGTTTTTTTAATGGAAAAATTTGTTTTGATGTTTAAGTGCAGCATAAACGTCTTTCTAAATCCTAAAATTTTGGAAGATATAATAGGATATTAAATGGTGTTCAACACATGCTAATTATTTGAAATAATTACTTAACATCAACTAAATTCAACTGTTTTAACTTTAACTGTTTTAATTCAACTGTCAATAGTAAATCTAATCTGATCTGTTTCATTCATGAATTTTCACCATAAGTTGTAAGTTAGTTCTTTTGTGAGAGGCTAAAAGTCATTTCAACTATTTTTTGGCTGAAACTAAAATTATTTAAATAACTTCTATTTATGAAATATGGACAGCATCATTATTAAAAATCTAATTTAATTTTCCACATTTAAAAATGTCTGCCTTCCACAAACTGGTCCATGCTTCCATCCAAACTTCAATCTATACTTTTATTTGAAAAATGGGAAATAAGACTAAAGAATTAATTCTTCTTTCAAAAAGTTTATAATCTCATAGATACTAAGTAGAAATAAATTAGATTTTCACATTTAAAAAAATCTTCACACTTTAATTAAACAGTTTTTTTCCATTTTTAAAGTTCATCTAGTGTCTTCTATGGCTGAGCACTGGGCTGGGTGCCGGCAGAGACTAATGAGAAGGAAAGTTACACAGTTCTAACAGATCAAAAGGTATAAATACGATGCCATACAAATTATAAAATGATTGGAATAGAGCCTTAAAAAAAAAAAGTTCAAACAAGCATCTATATCTAAAAAAGACTAGATTTTAATTTATATTTAAATGTTCCTAAAAATCAACAAGACCCAACAGCCCAACTACAAATGGGCAAAATAACATAAATAGTACACATAAAAAGAAAAACAAAGGGCTTTTAAACTTGTGAAAATATACATAAACTAATTTACAATAAGGGAAATGGAAAATAAGACTAAGTGATTTCTCACCAATCACATCAATAGAGATTTATTTAAAAATTGGTTACATATTTTGTTCACAAGGAGGAAGAAAAACAGACAACTTCAGACATTTTTGGTGGGAGGGCAAATTGACAGAGCCTCTGTGGAGAGCATTTTGCCAATGTAAATCAAAGAGTAAAAGATATACAACCATTTCCAAGAATTTATTTTACTCTCCAAGTGTCCAAAATTGTATGAATATGAATACACATTGGAACATGTTTATTTATAATAACCAAAAAATTGGAAATATATCATATATTCATTAATAAGAGATATTCATTGTATAATGTATATGTAAAATGTAACAAGAACTTCCTATTGTATAATGTACTAAATGTGTTAGGTTTTTGTTTGTTTGTTTGTTTTGTTTTGTTTTAGATGGAGTCTCACTCTGTTGCCCAGGCTGGAGTGCAGTGGCGCAATCTCGGTTAACTGCAACCTCCGCCTCCTGGGTTCAAGCAATTCTCCTGCTTCAGCCTCCCAAGCAGTTGGGATTACAGGCGCCCACCACTACGCCTGGCTAATTTTTGTATTTTTAGTAGAGGCGGGATTTCACCATGTTGGCCAGGATGGTCTCGATCTCCTTACCTCATGATCTGCCCGCCTTGGCCTCCCAAAGTGCTAGAATTACAGGCATGAGCCACCATGCCCGGCCATTAGGTTTATACAGAAGAATACTATGCTACCATTAAAACAAATATTGATTCTATAAGAACTGTCATTAAATCATCTCTAATATATATTTTTAAGTGAAATATACAAATTGGAGAACATTGTAGAAAATATCCTACAACCTGTATAAACAACATAAACATGTATCAATATGCTTTCGTGTGTATGACTTAATTTGTATTTCCATGGGGTATATTTGTAAGATACAAAAGAAAATTTTGTGAATATTTGTTGTGGAGGAAAGCTGGGGACATGGAGAAATACTGAGAAAAACCTAATTGTAACTCATATAATCTCTCTTCCTTATCAATATACGTTACACATACAATTGTATCAGAAGGCATTTCAGTAACACAGGTGACAAGTAATGTCTGCCTTAGATTGGATGGTAAACTCAATTGACAACTAAGAAATAAAATCAATTTGTGTCATTTGGGTATGGGTAGTTAGAAAAGTTACATAGAAGATGTTGCATATTTCTGGCTTAGAAACTGCTGGACCTAGTGATCCAATTCTGTCAAATTCCTTATCTCTCACATTTGCAAAACCTTCCTTTTTTATCCAATGCCAATTTCTAAAATTTTATTTAAATAAATGAAACATCCTTATTTACATTTAAGAAAAGCCATCTTATATACAATAAAGAAATTAATGGGACATATATTTTTCTTTCTACAGGGAACAGCACTACCCTAAGTCCATGGGGAAGTAGCAGAAACACAAGCCCCTGCAGGTCAGGTTCCTTAGTGGATCTCAGTCTGGGCTGTGAGTGAGGGTGGGGTTCCCCAAAGCAGACTCCTGGCCATAAACAGAGCTTATATTCATTTTGTTAACATATCTTTTTCATGAATTAAGCACTTGAAAAAATATTCCTTCTTACAATGGTAGTAGGAAATATATTTAAATTGCTGATACAATACAACCAGCAAAATATTTCCTTTAAATGTAAGATTTTTATAAATTCCAAATCTATTTCTACTTTGGCATCTGTTATAAATTACAGCCTATATACATCCCACCATGTATCCTGCACTAAAAGTGATAGAAGCACATGGTAAACGTTTCTGCTCCTTAGTGCTTGGGCAAGTCCAAATCCACTTCTCTCAACTTGGCTAAGATCTTTTTATTTTTTTAAGTTTCAACATTAATAATTTTTAATTTATTAGCTTGGCACACTATGATAATAAGTAATATGGAATATATTCTATACCCTAACGACTGGCCATAAAATTACCAAGTACATTTCTAAAACAGTCCCTTCAGTGGGTCTATGCCAAATGTGACTCAATTGTTCAAAGATTACTCACACAAAACTGTGCTTTCATTTTGTTATTTCTCACCGCCCCATATTTCAATATCTCGTTTTACCAGCCAGTAAGATGTAAATATAAATATAAATATATATGATTTCTCTTATTCAACTAACATTTTCTGAAAATATGTTTAATAATCAAGGTTTGTTATTAATGTATATCAATATAGAAAGGTATACAGTTTAAGGAAACCAGGGAGTAAATATTTTAGAGTTGTAAATTACACTGCCTGATTGTTTTCTTTCTAAATTTTTAAGTTGTTATATAATGTATTCTTTTTGAAAGTAGTAAAATGAAACATATAATATAAATTATTCATTTCTTTCACGTTGATTTGTGTTGCAAATCTATATAATGTTTCATTACATATATTACAGTGAGCAAAGATTGGGTAGAATTTTCAAAATATAAAGGGAAGACAGATCAAGTCATTATCTTAAAGGGTCATACACTTATGAAACTTTCTTTTTTGGAAGTTTAGCTAATTTCAGGACATAATCTGGAAGTTTCCCAATAAATTAAACATGTAATTATTACATAACTCAGCAATTCCACTTCTAGGTATTTACCTAAGAAAAATGAAAACACGAATCCACACAAAAATTGTACATAAATATTTATAGCAGCATTACTTATGATAGCCAAAAGGTAGAAACAACCCAAATGCCCATTAACTGATAAATGGATAAACAAATTGTGGCACATCAACACAATGGGATATTTTTTCAGCCCTAAGAAAATGAAGTACTGGTACATGATACCACATCAATCAACCTGGAAACATTTTGCTAAATCAAAGAAGTCTATCACAAAAGACCATGTATCAAATGATTTCATTCATAAAGTCCAGAGTAGGAAAATCTACAGAGACAAAAATACATTAGTGGTGTCTTAGGGACAGCAGAGTATAAAGAGTAATAGGCTAAGGGCACAGGTTTTCCTTTTGAGCTCATGAAAAAATTCTAAAAATGACTTTGGTTATGGTTGCATGTTATCTGTTTTAGTGTTAAAAACCATTGGACTTCATACGTTAAATAGGAGAATTGATACATGAACTATAGCACAACAAAACTATTTAAAAATTTCAAAAGGAGTTTCTGACCAGTCTTAACATTAGTCTGGCCAGGACTGCTGTAGCCATCTTACGTTGTCATTAAAGATCAGAAACTTATGACCAACTGTTTTTTACATGCAACTTTCATTATTAGAATCTTAATGGTGCCTCCTCACCTCCAATTCATGACCAGATTTCAGCAGTAAAAAGAAGCAAAAAATATGTAGTATCTATAACAGAAAAGCAAAAATTTACCCAGAAATCCTCGTTGTTTTTCCTTTGGGATCAGAAATATGACAATCCTCAGAAACAAGAGAGAAATAAGAAATTTTCTATCTTTACCTGGACACTTTTCCACATCAAGCAGAATCTGTAGAAAAGCAATTGGGTAGGTGTCTCAGTGTGTTTGAGCTGCTGTAACAACAAAAAAAAAAAATCCTAAACTGAATAATTTATGAACAACAGGATTTTGTTTTCCACAGTTCTGAAGGCTGCAAAGCCCAAGATCAAGGCACGAGCAGATTCTCCACCTGGTAAAGTCTCTATTCCTCATAGACAGCACCTCTAGCTGTGTCCTCACACTGCAAAAGGGACAAACACTGTGCTTCACATGGCAGGAGGAGCGGGCAGCACCTTTCACCCGCTTTTATAAGAGTACAGATTCCATTCCTGAGGGCTCTGCTCATGATACATGAATCACTTCTCAGAATGCCCCACTTTTTAATATCCTGCCATGGGATAAGTTTTCAACGTGAATTTTAGAGGGATACATTTAGACTACAGCAGTAGACAATTTTCAAGGACTCTCAGAAATTCATAAGAGATATTTGAGTTTTACAGGTCTTTAACGCTTCACTAGAGATAAGTTTCAGAAAATGTTTTAAAATCAATATTAAGTTTATAGGATAGGAACTTATGATTAAAATATAATTTAATATCACAATGATACACAATAAATATTTTATTTATAATCATAAATATTAGTCTACTATTTCTATCTTCACAGATAATTTTTTAAAATAGCAAAAACAACATAGAGGCATAAAGCTGACATTTGTTTCTATGTTTTTGATTTACAAGATTAATAGATTTGTTAATTCAATAATCATTGGTTAAATACATTCTATTGTTCATGCCCCTTGAATTACTGGACATATAAAGCTAATTCTATGACACCATAGAGGAAATTTTAATAGGAACTGGTTTAGGGATATTTCACATAGGTTACCTTTGAACTGATTTCTTAAAGGAAAACTGTTTACGAAACAGCAAAGAGGAGAGAGGTAATAAGTACTAGAAGAACGGTTGGTACAAATACCTAGAAGTATTTTATAAAGATGATATTGCAGAAAATAGTAAAAAAAAAAAAAAAAAAAAAAAACACAAACCCTTCAAAAGAGTAAGCAGGGAAAGCATGAGGTGAGATTCAATTGCTAAAGTGGACATAGGTAAGATCCATGAGTAATATGGACCCATAAGTAGTATGAATCTTACTCTGTAGATATTTGAGCCACAGGGACAGTTTAAGAAGAGTTATAAAAGTCTGTGAGCATTTTATAAATAATAAAAAATTGTATAAATGCACCAATGAACAGTGCAGAGCTTGAAGTGCTTGAATACTAAAAAAGAACTCCTACTTGTAAAGTTCAAAAGAAATCTGGTGTCTCCTTGGCCAGAAGATCATACTTACTTCACTTCCAAAAGATTTAATATGTATAGTGTACTCCCAACATGAAGACAAAGTGGTTATAAAATGTGCTGTGAAATGTCCTTTTTTTAAAAAAAAAAAGGCATATATGAAAATTAAATTTTATTTGAAATGTATAAATTATTGTGAGCATAGATTTCTATAAAATGATTACTTTTTTCATCTTAGTTTAATTCCTCAATATTTAATCTTATTACTGTAATTTTATTTAGACTGTTTCATAGAATGTAAAAAACTGGTAATTTTATCTATTATTTTTAGTCATGTTTTTTAGTGAGAAGCATTGTACTGAAATATCTAGTTCATTACAATATATAATACCTTTTTATTTTTCAAGAATATTTCTTTTGTACTCTTAATATGTATATGACTAAGAGTTATAGTATGTTCGTTTGTCTGTTGCTTTGTTTCATTCTGAAGTTTGAGGAATCCCCTGGAGATTTACTTGAGTAAATTCATTTTAAAAATGAAATATTTTTGGAACATTTTAAATGTTAACACAAACAACTTTGTGTAAACATATTTTTAACAGTAACTCTTTTATTTCTTTTCCTTACCTGTGAGGAATCCCAAGAACTGTGTTATATGTAATAAAACTTGGTTTTTAATTTAATTATCTCAAAAAGTAAAAAAATATTATTCTAAACAGTCATATATTAGACAGTGCTAAACTTAAGATTCCTGGTTTTAATTAATTCCTGGTACTGTGTCTACCATTAGCTTTAGTTGTGAACCATAGGAGCATAAATCCAC